AATCTATTGGTAAGAAATGTGGTCCAGCAGCAGCATTCTCTCCTAAATCAACCTGCCAAGCACCAAGGTGCTAATCACTGAAAACCAGCTCTGCTGCTGTGTGAGATAACACGGTGTAGAACTGGAGGAATACAGCAGGACCGGCAGCATCAGAGGAGCAGGAAAGTTGACGTTTCGGGTCGAGACCCACCCTTCTTCAGAATTTCTGATTCTGAAGAAGGGTCCTCCAGCTCCACACTGTGTTATCTCTGACTCCAGCATCTGCAGTTCTTGCTGTGTCTGTATGTGTAAGGGGTGGAGGAAGTCATTTGCATGCCTGACAGCAGACTTCTCAGGCAACTGCTCAACTTAAACTCATTCAAGGCAGGAGATCTTAGGGGCACAGTGGAAAATCTTTAGGGCTGTCCTCAGCGAGTCCCACTAAAATATTAGGCTTGTGACTGACCAAATTGGAGAAGGTTCAATCCCAAGGAACTTTCCAAGACATAGTTTATGTTACAGGGATAGTTGTTCAAAAATTTATAGAAATGTTCCAAAGTCTTGATTCTTACAAAAATTTATCTTACCTGATCTGGCCTATATATGACTTCAGACATCAGCAAAGTAGTTGATTCAAATGCCTTCAGAAATAGCCCAACAAACTAGTAATAGATTCATACAACATGGAAACAGGCCCTTCGGTCCTACTCGTCTACACCAATTAGACATCCCAATCTGACCGAATCCTATTTTCCAGGATTTGATCCATATCCCGCTAAACCCTTCCTATTCATATACCTATCCCGATGCCTTTCAAATGTTGTAATTATACCCATCTCCCTCACTTCTTCTAGCAGCTCATTCCATACACGTACCATCCTCTGTGAGAAAATTTTGCCCCTCAGCTACTTTTTAAATCTTTCTCCTCTCACACAAAACCTATGCCCTCTAGTTTTGGACTCTCCCAAACTGCTGGTGGATTTCTCAACAACTGCCCCTCATGATTTTATAAACCTCCATAAGGTGTCTCCTCAGCCTCTGACGCTCCAGGGAAAATGGCCCAGCCTATCCAGCCTCTGCCTACAACTCAAACCCTCCAGACCTGGCATCATCCTTGCAAATCCTTTCTGCAACCTCTCAAGTTTTACAGCTTCCTTCCAATAGAAGGGTGGCCAGAATTGTATGTCGTATTCTAAAAGTGGCCTCACCAATATCCTATGCATTCGCAACATGACATCCCAACCCCTATACTCCACGTTCTGACTAACGAAGGCAATGTGCCAAATGCCTCTTCATGACCTTGTCTAATTTTAAAGATTCCACTTTCAAGGAATAATGCACCTACACTCCTAGGTCTCTTTGCTCAGCAACACTCCCCAGGGTACAATTAACTGCTTTAAGTACGGTCGTGGTTTGCCTTACCAAAATGCTAATCATTCAAAACCAGCTTATCTGGGGGTGTGTGTGTGTAAGGGGTATCTAAATTAAACTGCCACTCTCTGCCACTCCTGGCCCATTGGCCACATGATCAAGGTCCTGTTTTTTCTGAGATAATTTTCTTCACTGTCCACTAACGCTACCTATTTTGGTATCATCTACAAACTTACCAACCATATCTTCTATATTCACATTTAAATCATTTATATAAAAGTCAGTTTATCAATATACTACAAAAAAAAGTTAAATAAACCCTAATGAACCAACCCATGGTGGTCTTGGCCTCAGTCAGGGCAACACTGCAAACTTTTCCTTGCATACTTCTAGGCACTTGTGTTGAGATTGGGAGAGCTGTCTCTCAGATGAGGCAAACAACAACCTGACACAGTTATACTCATGGATTCATACCTCTCATCAAATGTCCCAGAATCCTTCATCACCATCCCAGGTATGTCTTGTGGCAGAACAGTGCACTGCTGGTGGTAGAATAGTCAGGAAGAGGTGGCCCAGGAAAATTCAGTGTTGACTCTTGGATTACTTGAACTGACATGTCATCAAATCAAATATGGACAAAAAAAATCTGCCAAATATAGTTTAGTATTCTCCTTCAGTCAATGAGCAATGCTTCTCAGTCTTCACATTATTTCACAAATTTGCATGCCACTTGGAAGAAGCACTGTTGCATGACTGTAGATGGTAATCAAGGATGGAATCATACCTAACATAAAGGCACATGGTTGTGGTTGTAGGAGGACATTCATGTCAATTCCAGGATAGTTCTACAAGAGGTCCTCAAAGGTGCGTTCTCAGCCCAACCATCTTCACCTGCTTTATTAATGAACTTACCCACTTGTAACTGGATGTAGGGATGTTTCTTGATGACTGTGTCTAATATCAATCATAACTCCAATCCAATTTCGACTGGTAAGTGGCAAGCGATATTCATCTAAAGACCTTTTGTCACAAGAGAACATTTAATCACTTTTGCTTAAGATTCAATAGCAAGGTCAGAACAAATCTCCGCTATTAAAATCCTGGTTGTTCCCATTCACTACAATGGTAACTTAAACAGATCTACATGATTGATCTGGCTACAAAAGTAAATCAGAGGCTGGGTATTCTGCAGTGTGTGACTCACCTCCTAAATTTCCAATGTCTTTCCACCATCTACAAGGAAAAGCCAGCACTGAGATAGAATACTTGCCTAGATGAGTGCAGCTCCAAAAATACTCAAGAAATTTGATGCCATCCAGGACAAAACAGTCTGCACTCCATAGTATTCCATCCACTACCTCAAACATGTACTCCACCACCAACATACAATGGCAATATTGTGTGTATAAATATAAATTTATAAATATATAAATTTATATAATGGCAATAAATGCCTGGAACACCACAAACTGTAAAGGTTCCTTGCTTGTATTGGCAGAGGACAAACTTTGAAAAAGTTTTGGGCAATGGTTTATAGAGCCTTCCAAGCTTTGTGGACCAGCTTCCTTCACAGCCCAACGAGCTCAGATGATGCTTACTGTATTGGGATCCTTAATCCCATGTCGAGGTCTTGAGTTCCACATTGGTAATGATTTTTTTTTAATCAGTAGGGTAATAAATTGTACTCGATTAACTGAGCAATAAACCTTTGAGCATAGTTCTTTGGCAGATATGATTAATTCCGTTATGAGTTGTTATAGCTGACACATTAATTGGAAGATATCTGGATTTACCATCAATGGACCAGCTATTATTGCTGGCACTGCTGCAACTTTCTCATTGGCATTTTATGTTCTTATCCTGTAATAGTTTTCTTTAACTGGTTTTCAGGCACACATTTCAGGCTGGATTGGGCAATAGATGCAACAATGTGACACCTGCCACTGTAAAGATTTGTATATGTGCAAGAAGTGCTTCCCCATCATGCTGTGGCACAAACAATTACAATGATTTTACAGAATCACCAGATTGTTGCAGCACAGATGAACAACCTATGGTCTGTTGTGGAAGGTCCTGTGGGGCAATATCCCTCCCTCCGGATCAGGAGGTCTGATTTCAGGTCCCACCCCCTCAAAGGTGTGACCAATATGTCTAAACAAGTCAATTTTAAAAATATCCATCATACCTGTGCTGCCACCACTCCCCAAAATGAATAATTTACCCCAGTGACATTTCTCCCAAATCCCTGTAGCCCTGCACGCTCATCCTTTTCACATAGTAATACAATTCCCTCTTGAATGCCTCAATTGAATCTACCTCCATCATACTTCCAGACAGTGCATTCCAGATCATAACCACTCCCTGTGTGAAAAAGCTTCTTGTGTCTCCATTGCTCCTTTCCCATTGACCTTAATTCTCAATCTTGATTCTTTCATGAGTGACAGCAGTTTTTATCCACTTTGTCCACACCCTTCATGATTTTGAATACCTCTATCGGCTCCTCTCCATCTTCCCTTCTCCAAGGAAATGAGTCCCAACTTTTCCAATTTGACTCTGTAACTGAAGTTCTTCATCCTGGGCCCAGTCTTGTGAATCTTTTCTGCACCCTGTCTGATGCCTTCACATCCTTCCTCAAGTGTTGCATTCGAAACTAGATTCAATATTCCAATTGAGATCAAACAAGTATTCTGTACAATATATTAAGACAAAGAGCTGCAGATGCTGGAGATCTGAAACAAAAACAGAAACGCTGGAGAAACTCAGCAGGTCTGGCAATGGCTGTGGAGAGAGAAAAGTAGTTTCGAGTCCAGTGACCATTGGAAACGTGAACTTTGCTTTTTCTGCACTGATGCTGTCAGATTTGTTGAGTTTCTCCAGTAATCTTGTTTTTGTTTCAGTTCAAAATAACTTCCGTGCTTTTGCTTTCTGCCCCTATGATTAGAGCCTAAGGTTAGAGTTAAAACAGAACACCAGTGAACAAGAGACAACAGTGTGGAGCTAGAGCAACATAGCAGGTCAGGCAGCAGCAGAGGAGTAGGAAAGTCGACGTTTCGGGTCGGGACCCTTCTTCAGAACTGAAGAACAGTTCTCCCTACCCTCTCCCCATTTCTGAAGAAGGGTCCCGATCCGAAACGTCAACTTTCTTGCTCCTCTGATAATGCCTGGCCTGCTGTGTTCCTCCAGCTCCCCACTTTGTCATCTCTGATTCCAGCGTCTGCAGTTCTTGCTATCTCTGGCTAACATTTGTGACTGCTTTGCATATGTTCATTGCGATTTGAATGTGATTATGCTTATCTCGAGGGGCACACAAATCGAATATGTAAGTTATTTCTACACCGCAACATGAGACTGTCACTGGTGATCTGGAGAACTTAAAGAGCACAGAATAAACTGACAAGTCAGGAGGGAGGCAGTCTCCCAGAGAAATGGGGCGGGATCCAGGTCACTGCGCGGTCTCCGGATTGGGCCTGGACGCTTGCAGCAATGTTCAGTTTCAGCCCAGAGAGCTCGGCAGCGCCGCCTCCCTGCTCGACTTCCACTGGCGGTTGCTTTGGGAACACAGCAATGTGTGGAGATTGCAGATGTCAGGAGCAGCGGCTCTCTCGATCACTTTAAGCTGAGAAGGAGATTTCTTTCACCTCCAGCAGGGTAGTTGGGACTAAGATGTATCATCTTTTGGGGCTGCAAGACAGATGCTTTGGACAGCAATCCATTGATGTTGTGGGGTTTGCGGCTAACAGATGATTTCACGCCATTTGTATCGATTGTCCGACAAGAAATGGCGTTAAACAAGATTAAGTATTAAATTGACTCAGAACGACTGAACTGTGGCAAGCCTATCGCCGTTCGTCGTAAACGTTAACAGTTCCGCTTTTCTAGCTTTCCAACAGCAGAATTAGGAAATCTTGACCACTGAAGGAGATGAATTGGTTTTCGACACTGGATTTCTTGGCGCTTTGCTTAACTTTCTTCCAGCACAAGTTCGGCGCTGTTAAAGGATATGGGGACGAAGACGAACGGAGATGTGATCCTATAAAAATCCCAATGTGCCAGAGTCTTGGCTACAATGTGACCAAAATGCCCAATCCAGTGGGTCACGAGTTACAAACAGACGCCGAATTACAGTTACAAACTTTTACACCTTTGATTCAATATGGCTGTTCCAGTCAACTGCAGGTTTGTAACATTGGACTACAGTTTATAAAATGTTTGCTTTGGATCCCCTGTTGTTGTCCATGCGCGGGCACGTTTATTGAGTTGACTTTAGTAGCCTGTGAGAGTTGGGAAATTGTCGCTATCGCCGCCAGAAAGCTCCACGGTACTAGAACATGAGGGTTGCTAACTTTGGACCGTGGCTATAACTTCCTGAAATACTAAAATATATTGATGTAGGACGCAAGAGGAATATGAACTGATTTCAAATGGCGCAGTCTAGAACATACACAAGCCTGATAAAAAAAAAGTTGACTACCTTTTTTGTAATATAATGAAATGCGATAAAGAGCTAAAACACAATGAAAATGTGAAAATGCACGTCTTTTTTACATAAAAAAGCTTTAAAGAGGTAACCTATATTTCTTTCGTGTGTGCAGCGCTTTTCCATCTTTAGATGGCAATTAAACCATTCCCTTATGCCAAGTAGCCCTTGGAACAAGAGAGCATTGGGCAAGAATGTGATGGTTTCCTGCTGAAGTTCAGATACTGACTAGTTTATATGCCCGCTTGACGGGCTGGTGTCTGGACGGAGGATGATTTATGTTTAAAACGCACTCCTGCTTTCCTTACTAGATTTATTGTATGTTAGTTTGTTTGGCGCTTTTCTGAAGAAAGGTACTTGTAAATGTTGATCCGTGTTTTTGACGAAAGGCCCGTCAGCCGCAGGTAAGTGATTAAACTGTTTTCACTGTCAGTCGGTTCATTGAAACATCGGAGAAATGTTCATTCAACTGAGAATAAAAACACATCACCTTCCTGAGATTGAGACTGAACCGCACTGTACACAATGGCAGTTAATAGCAGGTTGTAAAGATGTATCGCGGAGGAGTGGAATTTTGTCGTGTTTGGTGTTACTCTTTCGATTGATCATTTTGCTTTCCTTCACAGTTTTTTTTATGCTCGGTTTATGTGCCGATGTGCACGGAGAAAATCGACATTCCGATCGGCCCGTGCGGCAGCATGTGCCAGTCTGTGAAGCGGAGATGTGAACCTGTCCTGAAGGAGTTCGGTTTCTACTGGCCCGAGACATTAAACTGCAGCAAATTCCCACCGCGAAACGACCACAACTACATGTGCATGGAAGGGCCCGGGGACGAGGATGTCCCCTATCACACCAACAAAATACCCATCTCAGCAGAAGAGGAGTGTCTGAACATGGGGGGCAAGTTGGATAACTATGTTTGGGTCAAGAGAAGTCTCACGTGTGCCCTGAAATGTGGTTACGATGTCGGTTTGTTCAGTAGATCAGCTAAAGAGTTCACAGATATTTGGATGGCAGTTTGGGCCAGTCTGTGTTTTCTGTCGACAGCATTTACAGTTCTGACATTCGTCATCGATTCTTCTCGGTTTTCGTACCCTGAGCGACCGATTATTTTCTTGAGCATGTGCTATAATATATACAGTATTGCCTACATAGTGCGGCTTACAGTAGGCAGGGAACGTATATCATGTGATTTCGAAGATGCCGCCGAGCCTGTGTTAATTCAAGAAGGACTCAAAAATACGGGATGTGCCATTGTTTTTTTGCTTATGTACTTTTTTGGGATGGCGAGCTCCATCTGGTGGGTAATTCTGACACTGACTTGGTTCTTAGCCGCTGGTCTAAAATGGGGACATGAAGCCATAGAAATGCATAGTTCCTATTTCCACATTGCAGCATGGGCCATCCCGGCGGTGAAGACCATAGTTATACTGATCATGCGACTAGTAGATGCTGATGAACTCACGGGTTTGTGTTATGTTGGAAACCAGAACATTGATGCAGTCACTGGGTTTGTGGTTGCACCTTTGTTCACATACTTAGTCATAGGAACTTTATTCATTGCAGCTGGCCTAGTGGCATTGTTCAAAATCAGATCTAATCTTCAGAAAGATGGAACAAAAACAGACAAGCTAGAAAGACTGATGGTAAAAATTGGGGTCTTTTCGGTTCTGTATACAGTACCTGCCACCTGTGTCATTGCCTGTTATTTTTATGAAATATCAAACTGGAACCTTTTTAGGTATTCAGCAGATGATTCCAATACAGCGGTGGAAATGCTAAAGATTTTTATGTCTTTGTTGGTGGGCATTACTTCTGGCATGTGGATTTGGTCTGCAAAGACATTACATACTTGGCAAAAGTGTTCAAACAGACTTGTGAGTTCTGGAAGAACGAAACGAGATAAACGTGGAGATGGCTGGGTTAAACCAGCAAAAGGCAGTGAAACTGTTGTATAAATGTATATACATTGGAATAAGCACAGAACAGTGTCGCTTTTTGTTTGTTTACAGAAGTTGAGTTTCAAAGCATCACAAAGAAATTTGCTCTAACCAATCACTTTTAGAAAGTTCAAAATAAATGAGAATGTGCCTTTGTGTTGAAGAAAATCATTTTAAACATTTTTGGAGACCAATGTACGTTATTGAATAAAAAATGTTTTGTAAGTCTACAATCAAATAGAATGTGACTGTTATGAAGATGATCACATTAGCAGATTGTGGAATCTAATATTTTTGTGCATTGCATTTTAGTAGTTCTTGCTGTAATTTTGGAAAAGCAGTGTATGTAAGCCAAAGAAAAGACAGTAATACTGTAGTTCTTTCATGAAACTTTGGATAAATAACCGTGATACTCAATAAGCATTACAATGTCCAAATAGATATATCTGAGACAAAATTAGTTTCATTTTAGTTGAAGAACAACTCAGCCATCTCATATAGACATTAAATTTTGTACACTGGAAATGTGGAGCTAGGTATGAATGTGTGGTTGAAGCACAACCAATAACCAACATTACAATCTAGACAACATGGTGCACTATACCTAATCTTTGGATAAACTGAAGTAGGCTATTATTTGCTAATGTTTCAGCATCGAAGTGTGTCTGCTGGTTTTATATGTTAATCTGCATGAATATTTTAAACATAACAAGCTGATCTGTGTGAAGAAAATGTTGGTCAGGTGCTTGAAATTCTCTGTGCCTTAAATGCAGGCTGACTGCAAGCTGCTTCATTCAGGACAATGCAAAAATATATTGTCTACGTTTAGCTGTGACAGGCTCCCCAGGGATCCAACATAACTAATTCTTTCAGCACTGTTAGTTTTAAGACTCTAAAATTAAATATCCACTAAGAGAACCCAGTAGTTTATGCAATTGTATAATTTTTTAAAAATCATACATCTACTCGAGATGCATGATCAAACTAAAAATAGTAAATTTCAGAAATATGAAAGGGGTAAGCCAGCGTTTATAAGGATAAAAGGCAAGTTAGGACACTTAGAACACTTCAGTGGTTTAACCTTAACTTGAAATGTTAACATTTGTCTCTATTTATAGTGTGTCTTTTCAACGTTTTCTGTTTTAATACAATTGTATGCATTTCACTAAAGGGGTAGACGATCCAAGAGTAGGTATTTTCTATTCAAAATAGTTGTGGAGAAGTAACTCACTCAGAGATAGTAGGAAATGCCGATGCTGGAGTCAGAGATAACATAGTGTGGAGCTGGAGGAGCACAGTGGGCCAGAACTACTTCAGAAATGCGGGAGGGGGAAGGGAGCTCTGAAATAAATAGGGAGAGGATGGGTGGGGCTGGGGAAGGTAGGTGGAGGAGAAGTAATATGTACATGGAGAGGCTTCAATCATTTTAATGTATGTTGCTGCTTTGGATCAGACTCACAACCATATTCTAACCCCTGTAAACATTCTGCCATCTGTTTATTTTAATATTTCCCAATCTTACAGTTATACTTGCAATACCCAGCATTCAAATTTCATAGCGCAGCAGCCTTTCAAATATGACATGTTGAAAATCACTGGAATGTTTTGCAAGTGACTGGCAAAATTCAGTACTCAGAAAGGTTGACCATGGTGACATTTAGTCGATAGCTGTAGATTTAAAACCATTGAGGAATCACAAGATATTATTCTTTATTAAATAATATCATGGAAGATACAACCTAAACTAAATATTACATTATATTTGTTGTATTGAGCTCCGTGGACTGACTATGCAGTCAATTTTAAATTTGATTTGTTTATTTTTGTCTGTGGACAATAATTCTGATTACAAATAGACAAGTGAAACTGCTTCATTGTAGGAAAACAAAGCTAGTGAGAAAGTTTAGTTACTTATTAGCGTGACTGTAGTTTTACAGTCATTCTCTTACTCTTCATGAAGGTATACAGAGTATTCTGTTATTCAATGCCAGTTTGTGTTCCATTATTAACTATTCAATGTTTGTTTTGCAAACGCCCTTGAGCACATCCTGTATTTAGTACAGATGAATCCCACATTGTTTTGGGGGTTCACATTACCTGAATAAAACAAACAGACATTAAGGACTTGCTACAGTTTTCAAAGGAAATGTCAAAACCAATTATTATTACTTGTAAATGTAAGTGATGTAAATTTCTAATTTATCTTTTCAAGAGAAAAAAACTGGTCTTATTTAAATACATTTGTACCTGAGGAAAACAAAATTAAATTTCTCGTTCCCTATTTGTACAAAAGTGGTGAATTTTAAAATAAAAATGTTGACAGATTCTGACAAGAATATGTCTCATATACTTCTCTGGGAGTGCTGTTGGACTGAAAGTGGAAATACCCTGAGAATTGATGTGAGAATTACAATGTGCAGTTCACCCATGCCTATTGATCGCAAAACGCACAGCAATTTTGTGCTGCATGACCTTTGCATTCACCCAGCACTAACTAATTTGTCAGTGGCTGCCACTTCTGCAAAAGACCAATAAAATGACTGACCAGCATTACATAACATTAGCCTGCATCCCCTAAATCTTAGAATCAGAGAAGATATGTTGTGGCTCAAGCAGATGCTGAAGTCATGGCTAAAGAGGATATTACTTGATGAGGAAAAGTGCAACAGGATTGAGAATAAGCTCCAAGGTTTACTCACATCGAGCTGAAGGTCTTTGGTGGAGGAGATGCAAAGGGAGGGAGATGGTTGCAGAGGGAAAGAGATCTTCCAGACACATGCCTACATATTTTTAAGGCAAGAGGAGAAAGATTTAAAAGGGACCTGAGGGGCAACTTTTTAACACAGGGTGGTTTCTATGTGGAATTAACTGCCAAAGGAAGAAATGGATGCAGGTACAGTTACAACATTTAAAAGACATTTGGACAGCTACATGAATAGGAAAAGTTGAGAGGAATATGAGCCAAACACAGACAAGTGGGACTGGTCTAGTTTTGGAAACTTAGTTCACATGGATGAGTGGGACCCAAAGGTCTGTTTCATGTTGTGTGATGATGGCCGAAAGGCAATGTGTGCAGATAGCCAAGAGCCAAGTCTGGATGTCTTAGATGAGGTCCCACAAGAAGTTTAAGGATCATAACACTAGTGGTCAAGGTCAGTGAATACATCTTAAAATGTAATTTCCTATGAAATATAGCACTGACTTGGATCGCTGCTTAAATCATCACGTTGTCATCACATGATTTTCAATAATTTATATCAATCAGGCTTCATTCATATGCTTCACCTCACCCTTACAGGTATCATTGCTGCATGCCTGATAACCACATATCATGTTTTACACACTGCTAGCTATTCAAACATTACAACAGGAACAAACAGTTTGTATAACATTCACTCATACACTTCCTTCATTTTTTCAGGATAAGGTTAGATACAGCCAGAGGCAACAGGATCATACAAGAGGACATTGAGTAAGATGCATAACGTCCACCCCACTGTTAGCTCATTGTTTTTACAATTATGCAACTCTTACTTGATGCTTTCCTTGCCCAGTTAATGCTCTGGAAACAAAAAGTTAAAAGTATATTTTTCTTATTAAGAGCTTCAACCTAATTGAGGCTCTGGGCCATCTACATCCAACAGTCTGCTCTGAAAACTCTGCTCAGATTTTGAGAAATTGCACAACAACAGCTGAGATAATCCTTAATGTTCTAAAATAATCAATAACCATTTAAATAAAACCTCACATAACATCAAGAAAAGTATTTGTCCTGTAAGCAAACAATAATGGATTCATTTTAAAAGAAAAATGCAGAATCTGGATCTGAATCTTCACTAAAAATGAAATAATTCTTTCATGGATCAGGCCCAATCTATTTACTAAGTCTTCTTGAAATCTATCCATTAAATCTTCGGATATATTGTTTACAGACAAACAGACTAATAGGTGACTAATAGCCAGCAGAAATTAAAAAAAGTGGGTATGGATATGGCTTCATATCCTCAATCTCAGGGAGGAGAGACATACATTTATTATTGGTATGCTCTTTCTGAGTTTATGCGAAATGGTAGATGAAACCATTGAAGATAATGACATACCTGCACCTTCTCACATCCCATTTAACCCTTATTCCACATTCCCTTCTAATTTGGAAGTTTTAAATTGCGAGGGATACATTCACTACTTTCCATCCACCACCATACTCCTACATCCACAAACTACCCTGATGACCTTATAGTATATTTGTGCCTTTTCTTTCAGAGGACAAAGAAGTGCAACTTGGCTGGGCAGACGAACACGAAGAGGAGATTGATGTTGAAGATACAGTCCTGCCACTTGATCTCATCGGCACAGCAACCAGCTTCAATACTATGCTGCAGATGGTTTTGAGGATTGATCAGACACAGGTTCTGTGCATGGTGAGGCACTAGACATGAGTGAACTGCAGCCAGAGTAGTGAGGAAAGATATGATTTTGCTGTTGAGGATGTACATGAGGATTTTGAATGTGCAGGCTATGGAAGAATGTTGATGAATACGCCAATTAAAACTTGTCTGTGGTCAAGATTTAGGAGCATGGTGGAGCCGGCTTAAATTTCCCATTGGGCTTTTTGCAAAGCTTAGAATCCATCCTTTACAAAATGGAAGTGGTGACCAGCTCCATGCACACTTATGAACTCAGCAATGACACAGTATCAATGTTGTACTTTCCAAGGTAACATATGCAGCGGCTATCTAAAGTTTGAGTGCTGCAGTAGAAGCTCCAACAGTTGTCATTCAATGATAGACTGCTGCTATTCTGGCTGTGGGTAACAGTGTGCAATTCAGCAGTCTTTCCTCAATAGATTACTAAGGACACTAAAGTGCCACCCTGTAGGAGTGGCAATGGCTCCCTGGAGTACAGACCTATTGTCTTTCAGGACGATATTATTCATCCTCCAGTGTCCTTCTGCTTTTCTTTTTGGCCATCCAGTGGTGCCACACATGCCAAAATGGTGCAGGCCAAAGTCCAGGCTTTCCAGGCTCAGATCTGTTTGAGTACATCCTCCAAAGTCATCTACAGTTTCCTCCATTGAATGCCAGCAGCCTTCCACTACCAAGATAGCAGCGTGTAGGAGCAGAAGGACAGTGATTGGTCCACAGGGGACATGCTCAAAGGCACTGCACATGGGTGATTAGTTGTCAAATGTGTGGAATTGTGGAATTATTTCACTTATAAACCTGTTTTGGAATATTTTCTATATGACACACTTTATTTTTGTCTTGTGGCAAAGCAGACAGTGTTCAGTAACAGTGGACAGTTAAGGTGTGGGACCCATTGGCAAAGAGGAAACTGGAGTTGTGATCACTTGTATTGCATCAAGTTAGTTCTTCCTAGACAGAGCTGGAAGAAAGTGACTGCATGTTTTGCCTCCTTCTCTGCTTCCCATCATGCTGCTGCTATGCCCATCTACTGTATAGATGCTGGTAAGCTGCTGAAGTAGTTTAGCATGAAACAGGCAACTACAAATCTTCACAGTTATTCTGCTGTGTACTGTAAGGCTCCTCTAGAAAGATCCATGAAGCAGATGCATTGCTTTAGCATGCCAGTAACTGTCTATAGCTACATAGTAACTTGACATTGAGGTAATGGAATCCTTCTGGGTTCCGGTCTGTTTTCAGGTTTCCCCATGGTATAGAACCCTGTCTCTTGCATGTAACGTGCAAGCGATGGCATTCTGTACCATGGGGAAACCTGCAAACATCACAAATCTATGTGCTTATTCCATTTGCCTGACTTTGGCAAAGAGAATAGTGAATTTCAGTGACTGTTCGCAGATTACAGTGGGCAGAAAACTGCAATCTTGCAAATACCTGGAATTCTAATCTGCAAGTATCCAGACACAGAACATTCAGTGCTCCAAAGTCCTGCACAGCCACAGGCGTTGCAGTTCCTGTCTGTCTCTGACATTGCAGTTATGGCTGCAGCAGGTAACAGATTATAGTGAGGAGGTCCTTACTGAAGCTCAGATATCGTTCATTGCTGAGGTTCAGGTAGGAGAATTGCACCCTAACCACCCTAGGCGAATATGGACTCTCATTCTCCTTTTCCTCCTCTTGCTGTATCCAGCAGCCTGTCCTGCTTTCCTCATTCTCAATCCTTGCTATATTCCAAGGGGAATGTCCAATGGTACACCACCATCAGATAACAAGGGCAGAAAACCTGAAGTCAACAAAATGTCCATCAGCATTATCATACCACTCCCTGTTGACTTTTTCAGCTTCCGACAATTATAGAAAGTATCAAAACTTGCAGAGTTGGAGCAACAGCCATAAGAATCACTAAACAGCTAAAGTGTAATTAGTTGATGATCCCTTTATATTGTGTCCATGGGATTCTATCTCTACTGAACATGTGTTTAGCTCTATAAGGTTATGACATGAAGTTGGCTGAAGTATTGATTTCCAAAATAGTACTGCTGGTGTCAAGTCAGTGTTATATATTAATTGATATTATGATTTGCCTGCTCTGTAGATCTGTGATTGATATTCACAGCACGCAAACATATAGCATTTGATATATGTGACCCCTAAGGTGTAACACAAAAGTCATTTTAAATGTGTGAGGGGACTTGAAGCACCCCATAAACAGGAGCTAATGTATCCAATTTCTTTACCTAAGTATCAAAAGTAAATTTAGGAAGTTTAATTCCATATCCAGTAAGAAAAAAATATATAGTATAATTGAACATCATTTTGCATGAAATATGTGAATGGACAAGTTGCACTTCTGCATGAGGGCAGAAAGGTATAAAGTTTGAGAGCTTTTCCTGCCTTTGCCATCTTCCTCTGCCAGAAAGCTTGAAAAATTCAGACCTTTCAACTTCCAGGTCTGAAGTGCGAGATTAGACAGCACCACAGACAACATATTGTTTTTGAACTCCATAATGTACCATACACGACACCTATTTAGCTATGAGAAGCATCTCATAATTGACATTTCCATTATCACAAAACAATTTCTGAGATGTGTTTTCCATAACCAACCATTATTATGCTCACAACCTTTGAGTCCCTGTCTCTTTTCAAAATATTTTTTCTTGGATTCTAGATTACTCCAGAAGTTCTCTTTTATAGCCACTCCACTCCACTATTTAATACCAATATTGTGAGTATGTTCAAGGTGAGTTTGTGGTAAGCACACTGTAGTCAATTGGTGAATATTCAATAGGCTCATGACACTTTTTGTTCACTCAGGTCAACCTGTAGTTACTTGCTATAACGTAATTACATTGAATGAAAGATATATGTAATTAATATAGAATATTTGAAGCTTGTTTTATTATCATTGT